TCATCTGGACTATAAAGTATCAGAATGGGAGACTAATACCCAAGAATAGTAGAGATAAGGACCAGGAGGTTTACTCCAAGACTTGGAAGCCAGCCTCAAATGCTGGTTGGAAAGGCAGCTCGGATAGAGCAGGGAACACCTAGTAAGCGGTGTTTGGAGGACCCCCTTGGGTGCCATATGTAGACTATAGATCCAACACAATGGCCACTCAGTGCCTCTATTGCAAACTACAACACCCAAAAGGAAAGAGAGAACAAAAGGGAATGCCCTGCCACAGAGGTGGGGTGGGGAGGGGGGTGGAAAATGGGCACTGGTGGAGGGATGGGTACTGGATCATTGTATGACTGAAGCACAAACACGAAAGTTTGTGAGTCTGTAACTGTACCTCATGGTGATTCACTAATTAAAAAAAAAAAGATCTCAGGCAGTAGGAGAGAACTCAGGCACATTGGCAGAGAAAAGTTAACACTGGTAGTGGGATTGTTATTGCAACATTGTATGCCTGAGACTCCTTATGAACACATTTGTAACTCACAGTACAGAAATAAAAATTTATTTAAACCAAAAGAATAAAGTAGGGCCGGAGCGATAGTACAGCTGGTAGGGCATTTGCCTTGACCTGGTTCAATCCCCGGCATCCCATATGGTCCCCCAAGCACCGCCAGGAGTAATTTCTGAGTGAAGAGCCAGGAGTAACCCCTGAACCACTGAGCATTGGTGGATGTAGCCAAAAAAAGAAACAAAAAAGAATAAAGTAAAATTAAACAGGATAGTGTAGTGAAATAACTTTTTAGGGGAATAGGTTTGGGGACTGTTTCAGAAATTTTTCCTGGCTCTGTGTACAGACAGCATCCCTGGCCATGCTCAGGCCATACACAGTGGTGAGAATCACACCAGGGTTAACCATATGCAAAGCAAGTACCTTCATTACCTTTTAGAATATCTCTCTAAACCCGAAAAACTTTAATATCATTTTACACACTCTTTCAAAGATACTTATTTCCCCTACAATTCATACTAAATGATTTTTTAAAGGGAGATTTTTTTTTGTTGCTATCAACTTCCACCCCTCATCCCCCACCCCCCGCGAAGTGTCCTTTTAAATTTAAGAGTTCGACATGGATTATAGCACTGTAAGCACTGTCCTCCCGTTGTTCATCGATTTGCTCGAGTGGGCCCAGTAACGTCTCCATTGTGATATTTGTTGTTACTGTGTTTTTGGCATATCAAATACGTCACAGGTAGCTTGCCAGACTTTGCCGTGTGGGCGAGATACTCTCGGTAGCTTGCCAGTCTCTCCGAGAGGGACAGAGGAACTGAACCCGGGTCAGCCAGGTCAGCCCTGTGCAAGGCAAACGCCCTAGCCACTGTGCTATCGCTCCAGCCCAGCATAGATTATAATAGTTAAAAATAAAATTAAAATGCAATTATTAGAGTTAATAAATTATGACATGCTCATGGAATGGGATGTTAGGGTACTATTAAAAATCATTTTAAAGGGGCCAGAGAGATAGTACAGTGGGTAAGGCCCTTGCCTGGGTTCTTTCCAGCATGCTCTCTGGTCCCCTGAGCCTGCCAGGAGTGATCTCTGAGCACAGAGCTAAGACCAAGCCATAAACACAGTTGGGTGTGTTCGTCACATACACACACAAAATTAAATAAAATGAAACTATTTTAAGGTTGGGGAAATAGCTCAAAAGGTTGGAGCAAATACTACGAATGCAGGAGATCCAAGTTTGATCACCAAAACTACATGGTTCCCTGAACAACACCAGAAGTGACCCTTAAACACAAAACTGGTGTTCAGCTGCCTCTGAACACCACCAAGTAAGGCTCCCCAAATCATTTTATATTATTTAATAAGATAAAGAACTTATTATTATTAAGAACTAAATTACTATATTGTTAACTAAAAAAGATAGAAACTATAATTATGGAAATTTTGCTTAGCATAATATCACTCCCAAACAAGTACACAAAAAACACTGAAACAAATTATTTAAAAATGGCATTAAAAGGTACCTCATACAAATCATTTTTATCTTCATTACTTCCCCTAAATTTCCAAGTGTCTTATACTTTGTTAATACATAAAGAAATAATTCATTAGAAGACAATTTTAAAGGAGACGTAATTCATAATTTTTCTTATTCCAAGACCCCCCCAAAATTAATGAAAAATAGGTAAGAAGTACTGAGGTTTCTTTTCTCAATTTTTTTACAAATGTGAAAGAAAGGAGAGTATATAGAACTGGAACACAGCTGTTAGTGGCACGTTATATTGTATTCATGCAAATGGCTAAAGAAAACTCTTTTTCTTAATAAATATTCATATTCAACGCTCAGACACAATTTTTCCTCTTATGAGGCTCAGCCTAGGAGAGTTTAACTAAAAGAGAAATGATAGTAGTACAAAATTCTATAAGTAATTTTGAAACCACATTGAAAGAAATGTGATATGGCATGACAGAAGTGTTTTTCAGAGACATTCTGAGCTCTAGAAGAACACTGAAAATATTAGGTTTTCAGTCAAAAAAAAGGCAATAAAGCCAGTAGAGCATATTGTCTGGGCAGCCAAGCAGGTCAGATTCCAAAGGCGTAACAGAAAGCAGATATCTTCAGAGCTGATCACTGAGGAGTGACAGGTGGGTAGGGCACCAGAAGTCAGGAAAGTGAAACTTTAAGGACAATGAAGAAAAAAAAAAGTGGGAAAAGAAAAAACCTGGAGTTAAGCAGGGTACGACAAGGGTCTAAAGAGGGGACAGGGAGACTGGAAGAGGCGAAGAGATAGTCGAGCTGGAAGGGCACTTGCCTTGCACACAGTCAGATCGGTCCTCAGCACCCAATATGGTCCTCTACGATCACCAGGAGTGATCCCAGAACACAGAGCCAGGAGTAAGCCTGAGGACCACTGGGTATCCTCCCCCACCCTGACTACTCCACACACCCCGCCACACACACACACAAAGAGAGAGAAAAAATAGATATTTTTCCAAGGAAACTCCATTCTCTCCTTTCCCAAACTCAAACATTAATGAAAAAAATGTATTCCAACACAGGATGTTTTTACAGTAAAATTATTCTGGTGTTCGGAACGATAGCACAGTGGAGAGGGCCTTGCCAGCAGCCAACCTGGTTTTGATCCCTGGCGTCCCATATAGTGCCCTGAGCATAGCCAGGAGTCATTCCTGAGTGCAGAGCCAGGAGTAACCCCTGTGTATCCCCGGGTGTGACCCAAAAAGCCAAAAAAAAAAAAAAAAGAAAGAGAGAGAAACAGAATAGATATAATTCGTTCTATTTAAAGAAGCTAAGAAGCGGTCAGTCTTTTCAGAAGAAATAGGGTTTTGCTATTTGAGGGTGAAGTTCTCAGTCACATTCAGAGACAGTCACTCCAAATATTGTGATATGCGGGGCATTTGATGGTATTCTATAAATGAAAGTGGAACTTAACATATACCTGTTACTCTTCTACCCACTTTGTTCCTATTAGGTAACGTTGGGTAACCTACATATCTAGATTTAACTCTCTGCCTTACTCTGCATAAATAACACTCCCAAAAATAAAGTTTTTAATTGTTTATAAAACATTTGCCTAGTTTTCTAAAACTATTTTCAAGTAAAATTCCCTGATGCACTCAGTTAAAACCTCAGTTTTCTTAGGGCACCCTGGAAGGGGGTGGGTGAGACTCCTCCCCACCCCAAGGGACCCAGCCCCAGCAGCCAAAAATTTCCAGAACCCAGCTGCTGCCATGCCCACACCATAGCTGCTCTCCACACGCTCGGGCCGACCTCACCCATGAGTGAACCTCTGGAAAAACCCAAGTATGTGGGACTTTGTGATTGAGAACTCTGGGTTCAACGGGATGGGGAACGAAGATCCTCCCTCCATACTCTCTGGTGACTATGCAGTCATGCCCATAAACTGCCTCTGACTGGTGCCAGATAGTCTCATCACTGGCTACCTTCCAGATTGCATGTCCTTCTCTCCCAGAAGGGAGCATAACATGACGCTCACCATAATCACGCCACCAGACCCCACACCAAGCTGTTTCACTTGGGGCACCCCGGAGGGGGGAGGGTGAGACCCCTCCCTGCCCCAAAGAACCTGGCCCTGGCAGCCAGAAACCTTCAGAACCCAGCCGCTGCCATGCCCAATGCTGCTTTCCACACACTCAGGCCAAGTATCACCCACAAGTGAATCTATTCCTGGACTGTGCAGTCACATTCAAAGCCATCCGATACTTCAAACCACACACCCTACCCATACTCCAATATGACTGCACCATATTTGATAGGGTTCAAAGTAGGAGGCAGCCAACCTTAGAGGGAAATATACATTACACACACACACACACACACACACACAAAACACACAAGGCTCAACCTTTAACAACATGTTAATGATCTCTTATAGAAGGGCTTAATGGCCCCTGGGTGAAATACAACAACCTCCACACCCTTTCCTCTAATGATACTTTTTTTGTAGCATTTTCAGGGGTTTTTCATAACAAACAATACAAAATGTATTATTTCGGTTCTGTTTTGGGGCAGGGGTTCAGGATGAGAAAATTCGAAATATGGTGGTGGGAAGGAGTAATGGTGGTGGGATTGGTGTTTGAATATTAAATGTAATGAAATGAGTGAACCTCCGGAAAAAAAACAGGTATGTGGGACTTTGTGATTGTTGTTGCAGGAATTTCAAAAGTATTTTATTAGAACATACATAAGAAAAAATTAGCAAAGATGCTGAATTAAAGATTAAGTAGAATTCATTTCTACTTTACACATTTGTCTGCATTGAGCTTTTTTTAAAAGCTTGTAACATTTTAGAATTTCTCTTAAAATTGAATGCAGTTATTTTAAGAATCCAAATAAATATATCAATATGGAAATATATGTAGTGAAAATACAAACCACTTACTCACGTAATTTTCTTAATTATCAATACCCCATTTGATATCTTTTTTGGAAGGAAAGTTTCCAAAATAGCAAAAGACTTACCTAAGTTCCACGCAAATGCCAAACCTCCACTGATTGAATGGATGCTGGGTGAGCTCAGAAAAGACTTCCTTAGGATTTGACAGTGAATGAAGACAGGCAGGGAGAGCTGCCCTCGCGTGCTTCCCGGTCGCCTGGCTCTGTGGGGACTGCCCTGGCTCTGCTGTCTGCACTGCTGGGCTTTCGTTTCCACTGAACGGAAAGTGAAACTAAACTCGGGGCTGGAGGAGCCAGGACTCCAGGAAGCTTACCGGGACTGCCCGAGTGCTCAGAAAAAAATATTATTCTCCCCCGTAGACTTTATAAAAACACTATGGTTTACAAAGCTGTTCATGATGAGTTGTTCATGAATATTGCTTTCAATATTCCAAGATGCCTGAGTGTTTTTATTTATTTATTTATTTATTTATTTTAATGGAATCACCAGGAGATACACAGTTACAAAGTTGCTCATGATCAGTTTTCAGTCATGCAATTTTCCAACACCTTTCCCTTCACCAGTGTACATTTCCCACCACCAATGCCCTCAGTCTCCCTTCTGCCCCCCACCCACCAACATGCCTCTGTTGCAGGCATTCCCCTACTCTTCCCTCGTCTTTCTCTCTCCGTCCCTCCCTCCCTCGCTCCCTCCCTTTCCCCACCCCATTGGGTGCTTTTAAAGATGTGTATTATTTTTCAAAAGATGCTCTTTGTTGAAGATTCCCAGAATACAGTCCTTTTGACATTTTAAGGAACTTCTATTTAGGAAGCTTATAAATACTTAGGTGTTTCATTGTATATACGGATGCGTTTTATTTCTTAATGCTGCAATTTCTAAAATTGTTAATTTTAAAATCAAAGACTTGAAGGAAGTGGCAAGTAAATATACTGTTGCCATCATTATCCTAGTGTTCTGATGCTCTTGCAGAAAAGGAAGCGCAGAACTAGAAGAACGTGAGTATGTTCTACATGTTTAGAATGGCAAAGGTCTAATTTCTAGTATTTCCTGTAGCCCTGAGGTATGCCAGGGTCTCTATCAAATTTTAAACCTAGTCCAATCTATAGAGCAGTATCCTCTTCTCCCCTCCCCTCCCTTTTTATCTCCCCTCCCCTCCCCCCTCTTCCTACTTCTCTCCCCTCCCCCCCCCATGTTTTTTAAATTTTCAGTCACTGTGAAGTTTTTTAAAATTTTATTTTGTCACTGTAAAATTACAAAGTTATTTATGATTGGCTTTTAGGCATACAATGTTTCAACACCCATCCCTTCATCAGAGTCTACTTCCTTCCACCAATATCCCCAACCCACCCCTCCTTTGCCTCCCACCCACAAGTCTACCTCTATGAGGTTGCTTTATGTACATATCACTTGATCACTTGATCACTTGACATTCCATTACTCATCGATTTGCTCGAGTTGGCGCCAGTAATGTCTCCATTCGTCCCTGTCGCATGCTAGTGTAGCCCAATGGTGTCTGCTTACTCCAGGAACACAAAGAGCCTCAAACCGATCCTTCAGGGTCTTGATGAAGAAGTTTGACCATCCGGTATGTGGGAGGCCATGCAATCTCTTCACACCCTGTGGAATCCAGTGCTAACAGCTCTAGTCCAGTGGCCATCTCCAAATCACATTATGTGTCCAGCCCATCTGATTTTCAACGCCTTGGAAAACAAGACAGCGTCCCGGATTCTTGATCACTGTCAGAGGTCAGAACTCCAGATTCTTTCTCTCATTTTGAGTGAAGCATGATACTCCAAGCATATCTCTTTTGATTCCTCTTTGGGAGACCCTAATAGCATTCTCATTTTGTTTTCATAGGGCCGAGGTCTCTGAGGCGTATGTTAATGCAGAAAGAACAGTGGAATCGAAGAGATGTGCCCAGAGCAGGAGGTTCTTTGTCCTCTTTGCTATTTCTTTGAGGCTCTTGGAGGCATTCCAAGCTGCTCTCTTCCTCTTGCGCAACTCAGGTGCCAGGTCATTTGTCATGTTGACTTCTTGACCTCGGTACACATAACTGTTGCATTCGGAGATATTCATTCTGTTGAGAGCGAATGGAACGTCAGGAACGAGACCATTTCTCATAAACATTGTCTTTGTGAGATTCAGCTCTAGTCCGACCTTTCCACACTCACGGTCGAAGTCGGTCAGCATTTGTGCTGCTTAGCTAATGTTTGGTGCTATTAGAATGATGTCATCAGTGAAGCAGAGGTGGTGTAGTTGCTGACCATCTATGTTCACTCCCATTCCTTCCCATTCCAGTCGTCACATGATATTCTCGAGGGTGGCACTGAAGAGTTTTGGTAAAATGGTAACACCCTGCAGAACTCCTCTCTTGACATGGACGATCACTTCCTTGTAGAATCGTGAGATCCTGGTAGTGAATCTAGTACAGCTCATGGAATATCCTGATGTGTAGGATGACATTGCTTTGTCCTTTCTCCCTTTCTCCAAAAGAAGTTTAGAATTATCAGGTTACACCCATTACAGTGCTCCCGAGGCACTTCCATTCCATTGTGTTTATCTGTAAATTCTTCCCTATGCTCTCCTCCCCAACCAGTTAATCAGCTTTCTCCCTAATAAGACTCTGTTAACTTGTAAGGTTAGATTCCTCAGAAATCTATGATTTTATATGTATGAGTGAAATATTGCCTTTCTCCTCTCCTTATGCCTTATGAACAGTTTACTTTAAAGCAATGTCCTTTTTGTATAGATACAGGAAGACCATTAACATTATGCTTTGTAACTTAGGATTTAATTGGCTTTGAATATTTTTCACTCCTGGGCGTCTGCTTTCTCGACTTAAGCCTCAGTTGCCCTTAGTTCCTAACACCCCAAAAGCAGGATCCCAACGAGAGACTGAATGGACCCAGGGCAAGCGGTGAGCTACCCTGGCATCGAAATGGGCCAGGCCAAAGTGCCACGATTCTTAACTATAAGTTAAGAGTTTGATCATAGACAAATGCTGTCATGATCCAAAAGTAACGATGAGACTAGGATCCTGCCAGGGGTAGGAAAAGACTATCTGACCTGAGCACTGTAGTCTGAGATCAAGATGGCCCTAGGAGGCCAATTCTATAAGTTTAAGGCATTTCTTACTGTATCCATACAAAATGGTTTATATTATATATGCTTATATATTTGTTAGACAAGGAGAGGAGAAACACACTCGGGGGAATCTGCTCTAGGGTGGATTGATCTGATAATGAGGATCTGTCTTAGGAGTGGATTTCCCCGAGGGAAAGAATTCTACCCCTATTGATTGTGATCGCACCTATGTGTAATTGTTACCCCAACCCCTCATGCTTTGGGATTTAACTAGACTGTAAGAGTGGCTGGGAGATGAGGATAGGAATCCAGACTCCAGAGAAGGAGGATGAAGAGGGATTGAGAAGGAGAATAAAGTAGCATGGGGGAGGAAGAAGCAGGAGGAGAATCAGAGGAGAATGGAGATGGGATTGGAATAAACTGCAACTAAGACCAACCAGCCTGGCCCTCGTTTCCTTCCTTCGCCTGCCCATCGCCATCGACCTCCCTGGGGTGGACGAAGCAGGGTGAGACTACCGAACACTTGCCATGGGAGAGACAGAGCCGCTGCTGCTGTTGTCCTTTTTTGAGTTTACACACTGATGTATTGAGTTTGAATGCCCAGTTGAGTTAGGGCTTCGATGACCGCTTCAGTCTCAACAGAATCAAAAGCTTTCTTTAAATCAATGAACTTTAGACAGAGCGGCATCTTGAACTCCCAAAAAACCTCAATGAGCTTGCTTATCAAGTGGATACGGTTGATTGTGCTGAATCAGTAAATACTATAAATACTATGCACATATACACTATATAAAATCTTTACACTGTTTGTACTGCTTCTGATAGGACTTCATGCATAAGATTTCACCACCTTTCAGCACCCACTCCTTCTACCAATTATACATTTCCCTCCACACAGTTTAAGTGATTTGCCTAAGGACACCCAGGTAGGAAGTGGACAAACCAGATTTGAAGCCCTCTTCCTGCAGTCAACTCCAGTTAACCTATAATTTGCACTGTTTTTCTTTTTTGAGTTTTGGGCCACAACTGGAAGTGCTCAGGGCTAATTCCTGGCTCTGTGATGAGAGGTGACTCTTGGAGATGCTCTGGGGATCCTATGTGATGCTGGCGATCAAATCTGGCTTTTTTGGGTCACACCCAGCAATGCACAGTAGTTACTCCTGGCTCATACACTCAGACATTACTGCTGGCAGTGCTCGGGGGGCCATATGGGATGCTGGGAATAAAACCCAGGTGGGCTGCATGTAAAGCAAACCCCTCCCCCACTGTACTATTGCTCCAGCCCCCTCCCCAAATTATAAATTTCTCTGCCAAAACACCTCAACTAAAGGGGGGGGGGAGTCCCAATGGAACAGAGGGGAAGATCCTGACACACAAACATATGATCATCTAATCTTTGACAAGGGAGCAAGAAATGTGAAGTGGAGCAAGGAAAGTTTCTTTAACAAATGGTGCTGGCAAAACTGGACAGCTACATGCTAAAAAATGGGCTCAGATCTCTACCTAACACCATATAGGAAAGCCATGAACTTTTATGTGTTAATTTTGTAGCTTCTACTCTACTACACAAATCTGTTGTTCCAGGAGCTTTTTTGTAGTCTTTAGAATTTTCATAATATATTATCATCTAATCCACAAATAGTGAGTGATTGACTTTTCCTTTTCTATCTGTGTACTCTTGATATCTTTTTCTTGCCTAATTGCTATGAAAAGTACTTCCAGTATTGACTTCTATTCCCTAATTGCCTTACAAACCAATATTGAATTCTATTCTATATTGAATAGAAGTAATATCTTCTCCCCAATTTTTGAAGAGATTGAATATTTTTCTTGTGAAGTTCTACCAGCACTTAATATATCTTGAAAATTAACCCTTTATATTAGATGGGTAATGGACAAATAATTTTTTCCAATCTATATGGTGTCTTTGTTTTGATCACCACTTCCTCCCCACTCCAAGAAGAGCCCTGGCAGCTGAAGACCTCCAGTTTCAGTCACAGCCATGCTTAAGACCACTCTCCACACTTTCAGATGAGCCTCACACATGAAGGAACCCAGGTGTGCAGGACCTGGGGCATAGATCTCCAAGCCTGCTTGGATTAGGACTGGGGCCTCCT